GCATAAGGAACAATCAGATCTTTGATATCAGATGGAGCTTGGCCATTTAAGGCTTTATATGTGAGAGGGAGGATTTAATATTCTATTCTGAAACTCCTAGAAAGCAAATTAAAAGAAACTAGGATAGGAGAGATACAGGCCCTGTTCAACTTCATGGGACGCGTCCTTAGAAGGCCAGATTTGAAGGACGATTACGCCATAGTGCGGCGCTGAGGTCTGGTCTGATTCCAAGAGTCCTCGTTATGCGACCTTAAAATTCGTCCTTCTTTTAGCCCGATTTGAAGGATGGGTCCGATGTATCCTCGCTATCCTAGGTTTTCCCAGAATTCATTGCGAGACCAAGCAAGCCGGGATTTACTCCATGATCAGAGGAAAAGTTACACGCCGAACAGTGGTGAATGTTGGAAGTGCAGTTTAATATACAAGTCAGTGAATAGCTCCGTCTGAGATGAATAAAAAAAAGTTGTTTTAGTGGTTATTAAGTCAGATATGTGGCGGTAATGTTGGGTTTATCTAAAAGTTTTTATCTATTACTGTGTAAATGAGTTTGGCTGTAATTTAAATACAGATTCTAATATATCTGCAGGGTGGGGACTAAAAATCTGATAGGAGTTACATTTTTTTATTGCTGTTTTGCACAATTTGCTTAACTAAGACTTTTTTGTTGTTGAATATTGGAGATTTTGCAGATATATTTTTTATACATACATTGTTTAGATTTACTTATATATTTCTACCCCTTTTTATAGTATAGAAAATCTCTTTATTGTCCCATATTGGGCAAATTTACAACTACAGAAAGATTATTGAAAATGAGGACCTTAAAAAAATGTATAAGACTAAAATATAAATATAAACATTAAAATCCTGTAAAGTGTTTTAACAATATCAAACTTTTCACCTGGAGAATAAATAACCAATATCCAGCTATGGATATTTTTACAGTAATAGATATTTGAAAATAGCAGCAACATCAGAGATGTGCAGAATGACAGCAGCAGGTTATTTAACTGACTAAGGTTTCTATTATTGCTTCATGCTCATGGTGGTTGGAACCTTTATTTCACTCTGGATTCTTGTGAGTGTAGTCGTAAAGAATTACAACAGTCCAGCCGTGAAGTAACAAATGCATGGACTAGTTTCTCAGCATCACCCCTGGACAGGAGATTTTTCATTTTTTGCCACCTGACATAAAGGAAGGTAATTCTAGAAGCCTGTTTGATATGGGATTTGAATGGCAGGTCCTGATCAAAAATAACGGCAAGATAATATCTGAGATCAATTTATTCCCATCCAAACGAAGACGCTGACTAATGTTGTCCTGTGTTTTTATATGTCTTACTGTACTGCTGCCTCTTGGTCAGGTCTCTCTCGAAAAAGAGATTTTATCTCAAGGGACTTCCTGGTAAAATAAAGGTTAAATAAATAAAAAAATAAATAATCAGTTTCTTTTTTAAAGACTCTGGTCCAAAGACTATAACTTCTGTTTTGTCTGCATTCAGATGCAGAAAGTTAAAGAGTTATCCAACTTTTTCATCTGGCTCTATTGACAGATATAGCTGGGTATCATCAGCATAACAGTGGAAATTAATTTCTTGCTGTCCAAAAATTTTACCAATTGGGAACATATTTTTTTGTAAACATAATAGGCCCTAGCACTGATCCCAATGATGTGGGAATCCTCAGGTACAGTCACAGGAAAAAAAAAGTTTGGGCACCCCTATTAATCTTATTTTTATTTCTAAATATTTGGGTGTTTGCAACAGCTATTTCAGTGTGATATATGGACACGGTAATATTTCAGTATTGAATCAAAATTTATTGAACTACCAGGGAATGTGCAGTACACATTAAAACAAAATTTCACAGTTGCAAAAATATGGGCACCTCAGCAAAAAGAGGGTAATATTTTGTAGATCCTCTTTTTGCAAAAACAACAGCCTCTAGTCGCTTCTTGTAGCTTTCAATTAGTTCCTGGATCCTGGATGAAGGGATTTTTGACTATCTTCTTTGCAAAGCAATTCCAATTCAGTTTAGTTTGATGGTTTCCCAGCATGGACAGCCTGCCTCAAATCATTCTGCAGATGTTCATAGATATTCAGGTCAGGGGATTGGGATGGCCATTCCAGACCATTGTTCCTCTGCATGAATTCCTGGGTAGATTTGGAGAGGTGTTTTTGGATCATTGTCTTGGTGAAATATCCATAACTTCAACTTGAACTTCGTAACTGATTCTTGAACATTATTCTCAAGAATACGCTGATATTGAGTCTAATCCATGCCACCCTCAACTTTAACAAGATTCCCAGTGCCCCAAAGCATGATGGAACCTCCACCAAAATTTACTGTGGGAGGCATGTGCTTTTATTGGAATGCAGTGTGTGTTTTTTTTTTGTTCTTTTTTTTGCCGCCCTGCATAATGCCTTTTTTATGACCAAACAACTCAGTCTTTGTTTCATTAGTCCACAGGACCTTATTCCAAATGTGCTTTTGCATACCTCAAGCGATTCTGTTTGTGGCATGCTTGCAGAGAAGGTTTCTGTTGCATCACTCTCCCATATAGCCCCTCCTGGTGCAAAGTGTGCTGAATTGTTGAACGATGCACAGTGAAACCATCTGCAGCAAGATAATGCTGCAGGACTTTGGAGGTGGTCTGTGGGTTGTGCTTGACCATTCTCACCATTCTTCTTGTCTGCCTCTCTGATACTTTTCTTGGCCTGCCACTTCTGGGCTTAAAGGGGCCATGGAATGCAAAACCGTGTTTCAGTTTTTATAGATAAATAACGATAGCTCAGTGGGTGAAATGGATGTACAGAGAAGTTCAAATCCCATCGACACCTCCTTTCTCTGCAAATCTCACAATTCTGAACTTCCACCATAAAACGGTCGAATTCAGACGAAGCACGGAGTTGACGTAAACTCAGGGATGTTGCCTTATTTGGTTCTGGCCTGTACTTTTGTCACGCCCCAAAATGGACATACAAACAAGCCCACTGATTCACTATCGTAAATGTAGTGTTCGAGGCTGACTGGAGAAAGGGGACCATTTTCACAGTCTTCCCAAGGATCCAAAGACTCGACAGGCATGGATTGTTTTTGTCTATCAGAAGATCCCTGCAAAGTTTGATGCTCGGCATTTCAATTGTTCTAAGGATTTTACCGAAGACAGCTTTCAAAATCTTGGACAGTTCAAAGCAGGATCTGCTAAACTTCTTTTACTGAAACGAGGGGCTGTTCCGACCATAAGGCCATAACAATTGCAAGCTTTAACTATGATTCAGTCACTAAGCTGTTGATAGCAATGCTAGCGTATCTCTGGTGACCAGTTCTGGGTTCACAGCATTTGAACCGAGCCGTGAGCTCCAGGGCTGGTCCGGGAGCGACCGAACGGTATGCTTCCCCCCCACCAGCCTTAGATAGGCCTGTAGTTCTGCAGTAGCAGCTTGTCCATCTTGCTTTTTTTTAAGCATTGTTCATAAGTGCTGTTTGGGAGCCTATTGGAAAACACCTGACAAAAGGGAAGTGTTTCTTGTTTAAATTAAAATGATCTATTATAACTGTGCAATATGTGATATTTTTGATCATGTTATCTAGTTAAGATTGTCATTTCTGCTTTAGGGAACACCCCTGAACTCAGTAATGCCAGACGGAGACCTGGGAAAGCAGACAAAGGCAACCTCAATAAACCTGCTGCAACTGGAGACAAGTCGGATATGAGAGATGAGACAGATCTTATCACCGTGACCAATTTAGCTGAAGTGCTCTCAGACCTTAACCCAAACGATCCTCTTCAGAAAGTTGTCAGATTTAGTCCTGACATGAAGCTTCTGCTGACTGGAGGTACAGATGGATTCATCAGAGTTTGGGAGGTAAACTTCATTTAAATTTGAAAATGCTCCCACATTTGCCAGTTAATATTTTAATGCTTTGAAAAACCTTCCACAGCAGTTAGTACCTGATAAAGCATTCCAAAGTATACCATGTGGAATGTTCAATGCCCTTTATTCAAACAGCTCAGTCTTTTTCTCTTTAGTCCAAAAAAAAGGGATAGGAAGCATTTGGAACCATGGCCGTTTCTCAATACTTCATCAGTTTCACAAGTTCCAGCACTGTTCCAATTAAAAAGAAAACAAGACTGAGAACGGACTGTGTGCTCCCGTTCTCTCAGAGGCCATACTTTCCTGTGTTCTTGTCAAGAACAAACTTAGCAAAAACATGGGTCCATACTTGCATTCTTGTGAATTGAGAAACGGCCCATGTTTGTATTTAATGTACAATTCAATTAAATGTATTTAATTGTACAGAGCAATGAAATTCACTGTCTGCATTTAACCCATCTCGTTGGGGAGCATTGGGCTGCCATTGTGCGGCGCTCTGGGAGGTTGGGTTTAGAGTCTTGCTCAGGAACCCAGAAGGCAATCAGTGGGAGCAGGAGTTGAACTTAGAACCTCCGGATTCCAAGTGCAATACCCTAACCACGAGTTCACAATCCCCCTAATATCTAGTTTAACAATACAGACACATTTAAGTTGTTTAATTAAATCACAAAAATAAAGAAAACAAAAATCTTCCTTTCGGTAGAGATGCAATTTTTTTTGTTGTACAAGTTAACTCTTAAATTAAATGCGGAAAATTAGATGCACATATGAACACTGTTACTCTGAAAGGTTTTACCTTTTTAACCCTAAGACATTATAACTTATTTCATCAGGTTGAGTACAAAATAGTTGTCTTCTTGCATAAAGAAGAAAGATTGTAGCAGTTTAAGAATCTGGTGGGGGACGTCTCAACGGGGTTTAAAATAGTCCTCTGTAGGGAAAATAATCTATAGGGCGGCCTAATGGTCAGTGCTTACAGCGTGGAATCCTGAGGTTCTGAGTTCAAGCCCCACTCCCACAGGCTGCCACTTTGGCTCTCTGAGCAAGACCCTTAACCCCATGCTGCTACCCGGGCGTCATACAATGGCAGCCCAGTGCTCCCCAAGGGGATGGGTTAAATGCAGAGGTAAATTTATCCAATGTGAGAGAAAGTTCAATGATTATTCAATTGGCTCTCCAAGCAGGTTAAATTAATAATAAGTCTACATAGACTTAAAACAATATCCTAGAGGTCTTAAGGAGACGTTTGCTACAGTTGATGGATAAGTGGATGCTTGTGTTAACATAAAGAGATTTAACTTGCTTCAGATGTGATCAAAAAGGAACTTTTTGCTTGTCAAGAAATCATATATTACAGACCAAACTTTCATTTTATTTATATTGGGCCAATTTACAACATATTATCAGAAATTTTCGTAGGAGTGGCCAAGCAAGGACCAATGTTCACTGCGGGGTTGGCAAGAACTGATAGAAGCTTAAACAGTGTCAGGGACAACCTACACAGGAAAATGAACGGTGCAACAAATAAATCACTGACAGACGGCATTTTTATAAAAACCTTGCTTATCACTATAGCCAAATATGTGTTTCTTTATGCTGATGAAGATTCTCAGTCATCCAGGTCATTGTCATTCCGTAAAATTTTAAAAACAATCCACTGGACTTGGTTTCCAAGATTTGAAGACGTTTCACTTCCCCTTCCAGAAGCTTTCTCAATTCAAATGTCGGGATCCGCAGTGAGTGTGAGGCTTTGTATGGACAAGGCTTCGTATTGCTTTGAAACATGCAAAATGAAACTGACTAGCGGGTCGTTTGGTTCCATTGTTAGGCTGTAATATTTCTTTATGTATTCCTTATGTATTTCTTTATGTTGTCTATGTTTGTCATTATATACACATTAATCAAATTGAATTAATCATACCCATGAAATAGGTTGAGCATAAAGAGCAGAAGACTCCTAAAGCATTACATAACACTCCTAGTTGACCTTCAGAGATGCTTAAATGTCCCTTCTCCATAAAACTTAAAAACTAGTTATGAAAAGGGCAAGAATCCTGTTTTTGGAATCTTTAATGTCAGTATATTTATTGCTACATCTTGTCAGTTTATGTTAAATGTGGCAAGATATGTGTGTAGCAACAGTGAAAAGGAAAACACTGCTTCGACAGGTAGATACATACTGCAGAACCAGGAGTTCTGCCGCACTTAACTGGGGACTTGAGAAAACATAGGAAACACAGAACAAAGGGATACAGAACTAATCTTGGAGTATTTTCTTAGATGAGAGAAAAAAATGCAGCAGAAAACGCCCCCAGTCCTGAGTTATTAAGATATTTCAGTCTATTCACAGATTAGAAGTGTTTCTATGATAAATCATAAATACATCTGAAAGGTTGTTGAGAAGATGGGACACTGATGTGCCAACCCTAAATTAGAGCATAACTTGGAAAGTTGGAAAAAGAGCGGCGAAATGTCTTCTAGAAAACTTCCTGTCCAGTTGCCTAAACTGAACTTTTTCAAGCTTGACCTTGACCTGGACGACAGAGAATTTTCACAGATAAATAAATGAAAATGTTTTTTTTTTCTTCCTTTTCCTGAAATAAATATATATTAATGCTGCAACAAGAGATTATTTTGCAAATCGATTTATGTCGTAATTTTTTCGATTAATAATTGGATAGCCAAAGATTCCTTAAAGAAGGTTTTTTATGATATTAAAGCAGGTGAAACTAAAGCTTTTCTACTTGAGTTCTGGATTTTGACATTTTTATTACATTCAATGCAAAATGCTAATAAATTTTTTCTACAATTTTGATGTAACTACTGCTCTAAGTGGGTTGCTCTTTCAGGTAAAGCCATGTTTCAGACTCTATATTCAACTTAACGATTGATATATTACTAAATTAGTGGGCATTTATTTCAATAATCAGTTAATCACAATCTGATTGTTTCAGCCCTAATACAGTAGAAATTATGTTTTAATTTGGGTGTCCTAATATTTCATAGGACTGTACATCCTGTCAGAGCTTCTTAGCTCTTTTGACTATATTTTTATACTGTGAAAATAAAAGTTATTCATTTATTGTGTAATTTTTACCCTTTTTCTCCTACTAAAGAAAAAAAACAAGTACAAAGGGGGAAATGGTCAAAGAGATTAGTTATTATCACAGTAGATGTATAGCATTTAATGCATAAATTGCAATTACGACTGCTATTAGTGACAACACTTATAAAATATACCTTTTTTAAAAGTTTTCCATTATGATAATCTCAGAGGTTTTGCCGCATACACCAGCAGGCGGTGATTAAAGTAAAGCAAACGTATTTGCACAGATTTAAGTAATTTAATACTTTTTCTCTTTGTTTGTTCAAAGAACATTCTTAAGGAAAACTAAAAGAACAGTTTTATGCCTTATCAGTTACTGGAGATTTAACCAAAAATGTATCATGATACAACAACTTGTACTTGTGAGAATGGTCTGGTTTGTCAGCTTAACTGCTAACAAGCTTATTAGATTTGTTTGACTGCAAGCATGTATAACACACTGAATGCAGTGATGTCACAGCTAAAAGAACAGGAGCGTTGATGCCTTAATGTTGTAAACCTTAAGGAGACAAAGCACTCCTAGCTTAAACTTACATAAAGTTAATAAAAACTACTTAAAACATCCTCTCTGCTGACTGAAACAACAGCCTGGACACTGGGTGCATTGTGTGTTCTGCAGCAGACCCTAACATATTCCCTATTGACATCATTTAGGAATATTTAGCCAATATTACCTAATGTAAATTGACAATGTTAGAAACTTTTAGACAGGATTGATCATGCACCCAGGTCATTTTGGCTGAAATCTGACTAAAGCTGAAGTGATGTTTGTAAAAAAAAAAAAAAAAAAAAAAAGAATCTCTCTACATGGTCAGCCTTTTGGAGTTAAGGTTAATCAATCATCGAAACCAATTTCATTCTTAATTGATTGAGTGAAAAACATTGTCAAGTCTTGCCTGTCTGGCAATTCTCAAATTAAAATAAGCAAAAGTAACAGCCTTTAATTTGAGATGAGTTTGTTGGGAGCATCTTTCATTGCCCAGTGACCCATAGTGACAGTGAGATTTAACCTCCAAACCTGTACTTTCCTAAGGTCACAAATGGCCTAATTTCTAACTACTATTCCATCACTCCTTTTAGCCTGTTAGTATTGCACAGTAACTGATCAATTGTGGATTTTAAACCTAGGACAATGCTTTTATATTTAAGAGTAGCCTAAAACAAATTAATTAAATAAGTGTTACTATATTGCATACAGTGTACCTAGCATTTTTTTTAAGAAACTGGTGCACTGTATAAGCAAATCAGAGCCCAAGTACCAGACTCAGATTGTATTGGGGGCCAACAGAAGTCCTTATGGAGACAATCCTAGAAAGACATAAGTTTGTTTAAATCTAGATGCTAAAGTTGAATTTGTTTTTCTTTTAACCTAGTTGCTTTTTTGTTGTTTTTTTTTTTAAGTTTCCATCCCTCAAGAAACAGTTTGACTTTAAAGCACATGAAGAGGAGATTGAAGACCTGGATATGAGCGTAGAAAGCAAGGTGACCATTCATTGTGCTCAATGTGGAGGTTTTATACGAGTTCATCAGAAATAATAAAGTAAATATCATGTTTCCTCATGCAGCTTCTTGTGACTGTTGGGCGAGACTTTACCTGCACTGTATGGAGTGGCAACCAAATGATTACAGGTCTAAAGTGGTGTGAAACCATGCCTCAAATTTCTGAAAAGTCATATCGATATATGGCATGCAGGTAAACTAAACAGGAAATAAGATAGGATTTCTCATCTTGATGGGTCCATCTAAATTGTTTTCATCTCTTTCTAGGTTTGGAAATGGTGAGGAGGAGAAAGATGCACTAAGGCTTTACACAGTGCAAATCCCTCATAAGCGACACAAAAATCCTCCTCCTTGCTATATCACAAAGTGGGATGGCAAGATCTTTCTACCCATGTTAACATCTCACTGTGGCACTGAAGTTATTTCCAGTCTCGCTGTCAGGTAACCAATTCAAGGGGGTCAGTGATAAAAATTGCATTTTATTGTGTTAAAAGGAGTGAATCAGACATCTCACTCCCAAAGCTCACTGTTACACCTCATATTTTATCGTCCGTCTCTGCCATGGATCCTTCTATGTTTGTTCAGTTCAAAATAAGGGGATGATGCTGCATCTTTTCAGCAAGCCAGTAAAATGGGCTGGTTCTGTTCTGGTAACTCTTCTAAAATCTCTGGGACTGACTGTATGTGACCATTGTAGAATAAATTATGGATAAATAACGAATAAGAGCACATGAAGCCAACCTTGGGACTGTACCGACTACAAGTTGGCCAATCACGAGATTCTCAAAGTTTTAAGTTTTTATTTATGATTGTTAGTCATAATTTTTCTTTAGAGTTCCGATATCCTGCACAACAAATTAAAAATCCTGAGAGCTGCATTTTAATTTCCGGTGTTATTAGCCATCTTGGCAAGCATTATGTGAGCAGAATCTTTTAACACAAGACAAAGCGAAACCAAAAAAAATCATGTCAGTCTTACCCTCACTTATCCATGTAAGATAAAATATTTCCACATGGCTCCTGTAATGGAATGACCCAGTACCATAGTAACAAATGTGACTACAGACTGTTTCTGGCTTTTTTCTGTCACCTTTTGGCCATGTGACTTTTAGCAACGGACAGGAATTCTGTTGGCTCTGACAGTCCGAAAGACGTGCATATCATTCATCACTATTTTTGAGCAAATCTATGTCAATTGGATATTTTTTGTGTGCGTCCTGTTTTGCCAATATGATTCTTGGAATGGATGTGCCAGAGCTAGCTGATAGCCCAACAGCTTTGCTTTCACAAGCAGACCATTATGAGTGTTATTTCTTGGACAGGTAGGACGAAACCGAATTTTCCTTCAGGGATTAATAAATTGAATTGAATAAGCTCACGCTTCATACTTGTATATGAGACTTTCTTGAAAATTGTTTAGGGAGTAAAATTGTATTCAACCGAGAGAGAAATGGAGGTGAGAAAGAAAGATGCAAAGGGAGAAAGAGGAAAGAGTGCATGAAAAGAAAGAAAACAAAGCAAAACTGGTAAAAATAGACAACACAAGAGATATAGAGTAACTCCTACAAGTCGTCTTCCACACCATTATGAGATGGGACAGAAAACAGAAGATTAAAAACAGCAGGAAGAAGACATCATGCAACCAAAGTAAACATCAAAAATGCTTCAAAGGCAGTGGGTAACCAGAGAAATGCCAGCATCCCTATGAGATGAGTGTAATGAGTTCAAAACCTTGGACCCAATATTCAAAAACAGACAGATCTGGATAGTTCAAAACTAGACTTTATTTAACTCTCAGCATGGCTGCTCGTCAGCTGGGGCGGATAAACCGGGTCCTGTTTCTGAGTGGAGCTGAAGCCAGCCGAGGCCGAGGGGCAACAGAGTCCTGAAGGGAATGTCCAAAGCCGAAGTCGAAGCAGAACCAAGTTCACAGACCAGAGGATCAGAAAGCCGATGAGGTACAGAAGGGGAATCCAAGCCAATGTCAGAAAAACAGTCCAAGTTTGGTGAGCCAGGTGAATTCAGGAA